TGAAAAAATATGATTGTAGTTAGATAGCATAAAAATATTTGTGATTTGATTTGATTTTTTTCTGATTTGATTTTTAAAGTACCAATTATTGATAATTATTAGATTGTATTTTGAAAAAAAAAATTTGTTATTGATTTTTTTAACCCACTGCGTTTTTTTTTTTTTTAAATATTGTGTTTTTTAACTATGAATTGACTTAATTTATGATTTGATTTTTAACTCACAGTCTTTTTTGAAAAAAAAAAATGGATTATATTCATTAGGCTCACATAGAATATTCATTATTGATGATAATTAGATTGTATTTTGAAAAAAAAAATTGTAATTGATTTTTTAACTCACTGTGTTTTTTCATTAAAAAAAAAATTGACTTTGTTTTTTAACTATCAATTGGCATGGGAGAAGTCAATGTGTTTTTAATCCATAAGTTTTGTGGGAGTTTCAATATCTCAATCTTAATATCTTAATTTTTTTGATTTAAATAAAAAATAAAAAAACTCAGCACTTATTGACTTCTCCCAAACTTTTTTGACTTTTTTCATACACAGTCTTTTCAACTTCTCCCGTACTTATTGCAGCCTTTTTCCACTTCTACCGGCAGCACATTTATCTATCTATAACACATAATTATTCACTTATTTTTTATACTGGAAGGACAAACTAAGATAAAGAGAAAGTTTCAAAACCTATAAGTAATCTTTTCATTTATTTTTCAATGATTTTTTTTTTCATTTATTTATTTTTATTGTGAGAAAAATATGATCGTAGTTAGACAAACATGAACAGTCACAAAGAAAAAGTTTCAAAACCTGTAAGCAATATTTTTATTTATTTTTTAATGGTTCTTTTTTTTCATTTATTTTTTTTATTATGAGAAAATGGTGATTGCAATTAGATAAATATGAACAGTTACAAAGATAGCATAACAACGATAAAACAACCAAACGTAAACTCAAATACTCAATCATTCTTTCCAAGTGTTCAGCATATCTACACCAAAAAAAAAAAAAAAAAAAATTGTGATTTGTTTTTTTAACTCATTGTGTTTTTTTTTTTTAATTGTGTTTTTTAACTATCAATTGACTTAATTTATGACTTGATTTTTAACTCACTGTATTCTTTGAAAAAAAAATGAATTTTATTTATTATGTTCACATAAAGTACCCATTATTGGTGATGATTAGGTTGTATTTTGAAGAGAAGAAAAAAAATTGTAATTGATTTTTTAACTCATTGTGTTTTTTGAAAAAAATTTACTGTATTTTTTAACTATCAATTGACTTGATTTGTTATTTGATTTTTAACTCACTGCATTTTTTGAAAAAAAAAAATTGGATTGTATACATTAGGTTCACATAAAGTATCCATTATTGATGATAATTAGATTGTATTTTGAAAAAAAAAATTGTAATTAATTTTTTTAACTCACGGTGTTTTTAGAAAAAATTAATTGTGTTTTTTAACTATCAATTGACTTAACATATTGTGGTCGAAGACATGATTGGTTCAATAAATCTCACCGTTCAAGATAAATGGATAGAGTTTATCTTGTGATGTCAACCATAAGATTTGAATAATATGAGATCAAATATAGGAAATTATAAAATTTATTATAAATAACTTATTCTTATCTTTTCAAACACAATATTATAATTCTAAATTTTTATAGTATAATGGAGTTGGAATGATTAAAAGATTATTTTGCCTCATGTCAAGATCGTGCCTATGCATTTATTATACCTGCAACAACAATGCTACGTTAACTAGATTGTGTACCATGCTTGACGTTTGTTTTAAATATAGATTGATCTACAGGATGTCTATATCTTTTAGACGGTAAAAATATATATATATATAATATGTAAGTATAACATTTTAACTTTATTACAGTTTATAAATACATAATATATGTGTTGTTTATCAATTATAATACTAATTATCATGTTGACAATGCAAGAATGCTGATAGAAGACCCACAACAATTTAGATTTTAGTTATAATATATTTTATTTATTCGGTGAATTTTGAACAAATATAATAAATTTTTATTTTTATTACTTTAATTATAAAATGTCAATATTTTCTTTTAAAATCATGTATATTTTATGTTAATAATTTAAAAATATTTTTGATATAATCATAAATAAAATTAATCTAATCCCGTATATAACACTGGTATGCTAGTTCCATATGAACCAAACCAAAAGGCAATAGGTAGTATGACATTAGCCCGAGTCATATTAAATATTTTTTTGCCGGCCACTACCAGATCATCACACTTAATTGTTCAAAAGATGACATTATTAATGATAGACTGTGGAAGACACATCATTTGTGAATTATATATTTTACTTAAAAAATTATTATAAATTATCATATCATTATTTTTATTTTTTATATATATTTTTAAAAAATATTTAAAAATTATTAAAATAATATATTTTCAAATGAAATCTTATATTTAGAAAAAAATATGTAATAGTTTTAGGAGATTGTCACCTAGTGCCCTAATTCAATATGATTGATTAAAATTATAAAACTCAATACTTTTTGTTAAGTTAATAAAAAATAACTTAACAAATGTCAAGTGTTTAGTAGCATGGCGCAATACTCCTAAATCACCTAATAATCTCTCTTATATTTGGATCACAATTTCCCATCAAGGTAGTTGTAAGGTCAAACAGTCAAACACCAAAACCAGATATTTTGCAGCCAGCATTTGGATCAAAGTACTAATTATAATCTGAATTTTGGTATTGAATTCTTACCTTTCCCTTTACTTCATGACTTCAATACATTACCAAACTCATATGGGAGTGTTTAGAAAATATGTAAAAAATAATTTTTTAGCTTTTAACCAAGTTTTTGATTTTTTCAAAACAAATAATTTGAGAAGTTGATAAAATGTTATTTTTGACTTTTTTAATTAATATTTATTTATGATATTAAATCACAATGAAATGATCAAACTATCTCCATTTAATTTAAAATATTTACAACTTCACCCACGTAACATATTTTGACTGATGAGGGGTAGAATTGTAATTTCACTAATGACTAAAAATCAACTTTCCAAATGTCTTTAAATACAAAAAAAAAATTACATTTTTACTTTTGCTACAAACTTAAAAAAGTGACTAAAAACTATTTTCCCAAAGACCAATAATCTCCTTAGGAAAATCATAACTGAGAAGTCCACAAGTGTTGTCAACTGAGAGCCTCTCAAATGTACATTTAAAAAATAGTCTGACAAACACTTCAGTTGCTTTCCATATAATATAAGGGGTGGCATCAATTAGGCTGAGGCCAAAAATCTTATGCTCAAGTTCTTCTCATAAATTTTGAAAATTAAACAATTGCTTCATAACAAACATCAGATGAACTACACCACAATTCTGGAAAAAAACAATTCCCAACCATTTTTATTACATAATTCAGCTTACAGCCAAAAAAAATAAAATAAATAAAAATAGCTATATACATTTCTTTTCAAATGAAGGGGGAAAAAAAGCTTATGCTTTTAACAAAATACAATAGACAACAAAAAAAAACAATAATAAAAAGTATGTAGATGTCACAAAAATAAAATAAAAACAAAAAATAGCAGTGAATGCTTCAAAACCACCTTAGTGGCTTAAGCTCTAATTCTCTAAGACAGACCCATCACCAATGCTACATAGGCTCTAATGTATCCATGAAACATTAGACCTAGAAACATTACAAATACATTATATACCCCAAAACGGGTTAATGCCCACTTGAGAAAAATTTCAACTATTCTATACATAGAATCTGATCACAAAACTGGACAAACTCTATAATTGTGCCTAATTTTATATTCAGATTCTGTGCGCTTATAATTTTTTCCAAAAATTCAGACCCATTAGTCTCTGTTGTGACTCCAAAAACACATGTACAACCCAATTATTGCTATTTGAATGATCTCTCTCAATAGAGAACTGGTGTAGACATTTTGCCAACTTGATCAAGAACATCAAGAACCTCAGCCCTGCTCCTCACAATCCTATGAAACACCTCCCTCACTTGTTGCTGAAGTGGCACCAATTCATCCATTTTCTGACAAATCTCCGCCAGCTCGGTCACCTGCGCCGCCACCTCCTCCACCTTCTCCGCCTCCGCCGGGAACTGAAAATTGTCCGCGAAATCGACCAAAGACTGTGACACTTTCTCCATCCTCTGAATCTCCTCCAACAACCCACAAGTCCCCTTCTTCTCCTTCTTCTTCCACTCCTCCCCAATCTTCTCCTGAAGCCCAATCATGGCTTGGGCCCAGACCAACTGCCTCGGGACCGGAAAATGGGTCGCAAGCCCAGTCCTCTCCTGACACGGAATCGCCGCCACCAAAGCCCACATCACAAAAACCAGAACCGTGCTCATTATATAGACCGGCAGGGCCAGACCGGTCGGTTCGCCGCCACGTGGCGCGACGAGATTGGAGGACATGGCTTGGATCTGTTTCGAAGCGGACCACGATTTCGCGACGGTCCACGACAGGGACCGGAAGGTTCCGGCGGTTCGGTCCTTGTTCACGGAGGCTCCACCGCCGCGCCGACCGAACGACCATGATCGCTCCGTCGACTTGCCGCCGTGGCTATTGTTCTCTTTGTCATCAAAAGTCATGGAAGTAAGGAGCGTGTTGAGAGACTTTTTGGCGCGCCTGACGTGTCCTTCTCCAATTGGTCGTTGCTCGAGAGCCGTGACGCCGATTTGAGCCAGCTTCTGCCAGTGGCACACGAGCTCGACGCCGTGAGTGATTGCATTGCAGACGTCTAGGGCTTTGACGGTCCGGTCCAGGAGTTCGGGGATGAGGCGGTCCAAGGGAGGTTTGGCGAATTGGGTCGGATCGCGGCCCATGATGAGAACCGCCTTGAATTCGGCTTCGCAGCAGAGGAAGGCGTCGAGGAGTTTCCGGAACCAGGCGATGGAGAGGAGGGTGTCCGCGGGCATCAAGGCGGAGTCCGGGGAGGAATCAGCGGCGGTGGGTGGTGGTGGTTGAGTAGTGACTAGATCGGAGAAGCGATCGACGACGTGTTTCTGGAAGAGTTCGAGATCTTCGAGCTCTTGCTCGTGATTGACGTCCATCGAAACCACCTGGTTTCGGCGGATGCTAATTCGGTTGAGGAACGAGCCCTGGTTGTCCGTTGCCGGCATGGTTGAAGTTTTAGAGAGAGACTGTGTGGAACGATATGATTTTGAGGATGTGAGAGAGAGAGACAGACAGAGGGGGGTAGGAGAAGTGTCTTTCAGGATAGGGAGAGAGAGAGAGAGAGAGAGTATTTTTAGAGAGAAAAAGGACGAAGATGATTTTGACGATGATGAGAGACAGAGAGAGAGAGAGAGAATAGGGGAAGGTGTGGAATGGGCAGTTATAGAGGTCCGCAATTGGGTGGTCATTATTAGCTCGTCTGGTACGAGAGACCGTTTCTTCTTCCTTTGTCTTGGACGCTGACTGGGCTGTTTTCCTCTTGTCTATTCCCACAAACACCTTTTGTCTTGTTCTACAGTAATCGTTGGGTTTCGCATGAATTAAGGTTGAATAGTAATTAAAAAATAAAATAATTTTTTTAATTTTAAATTAATAATTATCACATTTAAAATATAATTATTTTTTTTTATAAAAATTAAAAAAATTATTTAAAAAGAATAATTAAAAAATCAAAAAAGCTAAAACCACCTCACACCCCCAAAGAAACCCACAATTACAAGTAAAGAAAAGCTGTGAGCCTAGACTTTTTGTTGCGCTGACCGTGAGCCTAGACTTTATCAGCCCATAAATTGAACAATAATCGTACACATCGGGGAAGGAATATCATAAAAAAATCTTCATGAAAATTCTGTAATCATTCAATTAGTTTGTAATATTTTTAGATTGTTTCATGAATATTTTTTATAATATTTTTTTATAATACATAATTTACAATACATAGGGCTGTTTTGGGAAGTTGGTAAAAAGCTGACTTTTTGGCTTTTTGGCTTTTTTAGTGACTTTTTTGGCAAAAAGCTGGGTTGTTTTGGGTAAAAAAGCTGGCTTTTTTGGCTAAAAAAGTCAAAAAATCAAAAAGTTAGCTTTTTACAATTGTTCCCAAAATAGGCCATAACATTATTCTAAATTGAATTGATGTAAAGTGAAATTTATATATGTGCATATATATGAATGGTCAAAAATCTTATAAAGTCATAGTTATCAATTTAAAATTTAGTTGAAATATCAATAAATTTTAAAATATGATCTTATGAATTATTTAGTCATTTTTTTATGAATTCAAAAGTTCAATTAAAATGAAAATTACACAAAAAGGTTTTGGGTTTAATTTTTTAGAGATAAAAGTGGGTTTCTCCAAAGGTAAAATTACACATTTAAGCAATCCGTGCTATAGAGGTTTTGGATTTTCCTTCTCATGGAACAAATCTCACATTACGAATAAAAATGTAACACTTCAATGTAACACTCTAATAACGTACCATTCCAAAGTAACATACTAAGAAACTCTTTGGTGTACTTTTCTCAAACGTAACAACGTAACACTCAAAAAAAACTTTTTACTGTATTTTTTTTCCAAATGTAACACTCTAATATAATACACACAAAAAACTAATACACTCTAAAAGAAATTATTAGCGTACGTTTTCCAAACGAAACACTTCAATATAACACACACAAAAAAAAAAACTTATTAGTTTATTTTTTCCAAACATAACACTCCAATCAATGTAATTCCAAACGTAACATTCCAATATAACATACTCCAATTTAACATACACACACACACACAAAATACTTTAAAACTCTTTAATGTACTTTTTTTAGATGTAACACTCACAGTTTGAAATTTTCACATTTATCTAAAACTTACTAACGAATTTTTATACTCCTTTTGAAATGATTTAAAGAATCTCACATCCTTTATTTAGAGTGTTACGTTTAAAAAAAGTACACTAAGAATTTTTTTTTGTATTACATTCCAGTGTTACACTAAGGGTGTTTTTTTGAAGTGTTATATTGGACTGTTAAGTTTGACAAAAGTATAAATATTTTTTTTTGAAGTATTACATTGGAATATTTTATTTGAGCGTTACATTGGAGTGTTACAATTTTAAATTATACATTTACTCAAAACTTACTAAAGAATTTTTGCACTCCTTTTAAAATGTTTGAAGAATCCCACATTCTTTTGGAATCTTTGAAAAATCTCATATTTTAAGTCATTTTTATATTCATTTTGAAATGTTTTTTCAAATAAAAAAGATTCTCATATAAAAATTAATTCCAAATTTGCGTCTCATAGATTGTGTACTTTACCTTTCTAATACAAAAGAAAAAAGAGAAGGAAACATAATAAAAACAAGAGTATAATCGAAAATCTAATTTTTAAATAATATATTAAATATATCATTTCAAAATTAATGAGACTAATTGGTCAATAAGAAAATCTTTGGGGCTAAATGGATTATCATTCCTTAATATGGGATTTGTAGATAAATTTTTCTTAAAATTTACCTGAATGTATTTGTGTGATAGGGATTAAAGGTTGTTTTGGAAAGTAGATTAAAAACTAATTTTTTGACTTTTTTTAAAAAAAAAATTTTAAAATCTGTAAAAAATGTAAAGAGGTGATGTTATTCAAAATAAGTTCAAAATCAAAAAATAACTTTCAACATTTTACCCAAAAGAGGCCTAAATTGATGATAAGTGATGCTTATAAGTAAAAGAGCAATGGTAGAGGGTCACAAAAAGTGTGGCTCAAATGGACAAAAAGTGTGGCTCAAATTGCTCAAAATTGTCAAAACGACGTCGTTTTGGGCATAAAACGACGCAAAACGACGTTGTTTTGACAGTTTTGAGTCATTTGAGCCACACTTTTTGTGACCCTCAAACATTTTTCTAAGTAAAATGAATGTGATCTACTGATTCATTTTTATATATAAATTCTAAATTTATAAGTTTAGATTTGTAATTTTGTTGATGAATGATTTTTTTTTTATATAAAATTTAATTTTGTACTATTACTGTTAAAAATATAACACCTACTACAAATTGATGCTTGGAAACTTTAAAAACTAATTTTTTGACTTTTTAACTTTTTTAATGTCACATTATATCTCTATTTTTTTTCACTTTTTTTCAAAAAAAAATTTGAAAGTCAAAAAATCAACTTTTAACCTACTTCCTAAAATAGGCTAAAAAATTTAAAAGTTAAAACTTTTTTATTTGATTTGGTTAAATATATAATTTTTCAATTTCCTTGTTATTGTTCATCGATTTGTGTAAAGATGTTTTTATTCTTGATATTTTGCTAAATTTCATTGTGCCCTTTAATTTTTTATATATTTTTTTTGTTCTTAGTAAACTTTTTATATTTTATTCTGCCTTTCTTTTATAATATGCTTTTTAGATGTAACTAAAATTTATAATATTTGCAAAAAAAGTTAAAAATTCTCATAAAAAAAAAAATCAATACATAGTTATTTTCTCTGTCGTGAACATTTTTTTTTTTTATAGATTTCTTCACAATAATTATACTTTTTAAATACATTTATATTAGGTGCATCTAAAAAAATTATTTGAAATACAAAAAAAAAATCATTAAAGACAACAAAACATTAAAATTAAAAAAACTTAAAAATTGTTTTTAAAAACTCAAAACCAAATAGTTTCCAGAATTTGTTTTCTTTTTTTTCTTTTTCCCTTTTTTTTTTTCAAAAATTAGATACTAGTTTGAACAAACACAAAAATTAAATATAAATTAAATTAAAAAAAATATTTTTGACCCAAAGAAAAAAAAATCATATAAAAATAGTGATTGCTTTTCATTTTTTAACTTATTTGAAGAAAAGAAAAAAAAAGTTTTAAAAAAAAAAACGGAGGAACGAGTCGTTGAGAACCACATACCAAAAAAAACACACAGTTACACAGTCACATGTCATCCCATTATGGGGAAAAAAATAAAAATGAAAAAGAGTGAGTAGTAGTAGTCTATTTCAGTAAATTGCATTATAATAATGGTGTTCTTTCTAATAAAAATAAAAAAGTAAATTATAAATATATTTATGAATCATTTTAAAGATTATAAATTTGTTTATTTAATAGAATTAATGAAAAAATAAATTTTTTAATTAATTTTATATCTATATAATAAAACAACTCTGTTTTTTTTTTCCTTGATGGGACTTTTGTTCCGTTGTCAAAATATGGACCCTTAGATTTAATTCAATCTAAGGGCTCACAATGTATCACTCACCCTCTATTTGGTCCAAAATATGAACCATTTTCAACACGCACCCTCTCTCTCTCTCTCTCTCTCCCCCTCTCACACACACGCTCCTCTCATCTCTTTTTGATTTCAAATTTTGAGCACACCTCTCTCTCTCTCTCTCTCTCTCCATCGAACGTGCTTCCCTGTCGGAGCCCAACCCTTGCCGGCGTGACCGAACCCCAAACCCCCTATCAATCTTTTCATCTTCTCTCTTCCTTTCAATCGTCATCAACAGTGGCAGCCCCAAACCCCCTTCAATATTGAACATTAGATTGAATGGAGCCACTACAAAAGAGATTAGAGAGATGGGAGATTCCGAGATGCGAGTCGAAACTGTATGTATATATATGCATTTCTGTGTATTATATATAATTTTATATATGATTATGTATGTATATATATATATATATATAAGGTTGAGATTCAGAGATTGGAATATGTATGTATATATATAAGGTTCAAATGTGAACATGTTTGAAAATTTTCACTGTATTTAAATATGAAAAAATAAATTTTTTTAATTAATTATATATATATATATATATATATATATAATAAAACAGCTCTGTTTTTTTTTTTCCTTGATGGGACTTTTGTCCCGTTGTCAAAATATGAATCCTTAGATTTAATTCAATCCAAGGGCTCACAATGTATCACTCACCCTCTATTTGGTCCAAAATATGAACCATTTTCAACACGCACCCTCTCTCTCTCTCTCTCTCTCTCTGCCCCTCTATCACACACGTTCCTCTTATCTCTTTCTGATTTCAAATTTTGAACACATCCTCTCTCTCTCTCTCTCTCGTTCTCTCTCTCTCTACCTCCATCAGACGTGCTTCCTTGTCGGAGCCCAACTCTTGCTGGCGCGACCAAACCCCAAACGTTCTATTAGTTTCTTCATCTTCTCTCTTCCTCCTAATCGTCATCAGCAGTGGTAGCCCCAAACCCCCCTTCAATATTGAACATTAGATTGAATGGAGCTAGCAAAAGAGATTAGAGAGATGGGAGATTTAGAGATGGGAGTCGAAAATGTATGTATATATATGCATTTCTGTGTATTATATATATAATTTTATATATGATTATGTATGTATATATAGAAGGTTAAGATTCAGAGATTGGAATATGTATGTATATATATAAGGTTGAG